TGGAATGGAGGGAAGTAGCAGAAGAAGCTGAAACAGGGTGATGTTCAGGGTATGGAGGGAAGTCAGTCCTTTGGTGTCTGCTGCAAAGATGGTCCAGTTTATGAGCAAAGAGGAGAAAGAAGGCAGAACCAGCAACTGTCCTGGCTTAACAGTGAGTTTTGGGTGTGCTTGAAAGCAAAGGAAGAAGCAGCACACTGCCTGAGACACAGACCCGTGCCCATCCCAGCGTAGGGAGCGCTGCCAGGCAGTGCCTGGATCCTGTGTCCAAGTCTGGTCCCCACAGTTCCGGAATCGCAGCCCCTGCATCAGACGCAGTCAGAAATCAAAGCAAAGGAGACCAGAGGGAGGGAACCATTCCAGTCTGTCTGGGACGTTGCTGCAGAACAGCCAGAGCTTCTTCCTCCGCCTGCATCTGGGGTTTGCTGACACCAGAGCCAGCCAGGTTGTGCTCTGGTGCCCAGAGACTGTTCAGAGCGGGCAGGAGAAATGCTCCGTGCAGAGTGGAGAGTCCTCACAGAGATGCTGTTCTATGTTCTTCCTGGGAAGCAAGAGAATAAAGGAAGGGAAACTTGGGGAACAGCATTATTTCTGGTGGAGGGCTTCTGGTAACCTGAAGATGTGAGATCTGCACCCTCGCTAAATTTGGTGTAGTGAGTTGATTGATGAATAAGTTAATTTTTAAAACAAAACCCCAGGCTGTGGGTTTTGGGTATTTACCTGAAGAGGAGCTCAGTGAATGCTTGTTTGGCTTTGCCAAGTAGCCAAGGGAACAACCAGACCTAGTCAGTGGAATCAGGCTTGAGATGTAATGTGGTTAATGGGGCTTTTCTCCCTCAGCAGTGAAATCTATTGAGAACTTATTTTAGTGGTAGAGCTGTAACTGTGTGTTCTGTAGATGTGCTGTGACACAATCAGTGCTGCTGGACTTGGTGTGGAAAATGGTGCATGCCAGAAGAAGAGATAAGCCACTGGTTGTGGGATTTTATGGGTTTTTTTGATCCCAAGCACTTTATTCCTCCTCAGGATACAACACAACTCTTTTCTTCCCTTTGGGATGTGAGTGAGTGTAGGTGCTCTCATAATCAGAGACCACAGAGGACCAGCCAGTCCCATTTTTGTTTATTTGCTATAGGAACAGGAGAAGGTTCTGTGGTGGCTCTTTGTCCCACCAGCAGTGATTTTTTGGTGTGGACTGAAGGATTGCTATCAGCAGGCAAAATCTCTCTTGCAAAGATATTTGTGCAGACAAACTGTTATGGATTATTGCTCTCCTTTTTTGGACTCCTCCTTTCCTGTGAACATGCTGAGTGATCACAATGATCAGTATAAGCACAACAGCAGACCCTTTTCTAATGCTTTTATTTCTTGGATGTGAAGACATGGATGGAAAGGATTCGCAGGAAGGCATGGGTGGGATTTGCAAGCTGACAAGACTTTCTGAGCAGCTGCAATGTAAAAGAGTCAAGATAGGAAGAAGATATTTAATGGTGGTAGAGGGTTCACTGTTTCACCTGCGCGCTGTGGCGCATTGAGGCACGGACTCAGGGGGGTGAAGCTGAGACAGGTTTATTGGAGTGGCAGCCCTCCTTTTCTAACCCAACACCAACAGGCAATCACACCTTACCAGGTAAAAGCTGTGACTGCAGCATCTGGTTGGCTGCAGCTGTCAGGGCAGTTGAAAGAGCAGTTGGAATGGCAGTTTTGGGAGTTGCAGCTCACCCCTGTAATGAGCCGCTCCGTTCTCTGCAAAGGTGTGGTTTTTTTTCTAGGCCCTATTTCCCTATTTTCAGGTTTGTGAACCTGAAAAGGGAAAGCATAGGAGAGTCTGTATCCTCATGGTCAGAGGGGGGAGGAATGTCACCTATTGTTTGGTTCAAAATTCCACCTGTTCCCTCAAGCAGCCCTTTTTCAGAATACTTATGTTTAGCTCCGTGGAGAACAGGTTGTAAGCAGGGTACTTTTGAATTAGATGATCAGTGGAGCAGAGAGGCGTGAGAAAGAAATCATATTAGGATGTGAAACCAGCTAGAGTATTGTACAATGTAACTTCATGGCACAAGCTAATTTTAAGGTCCATTGTGCTTTTTAGCAAGTCAGCCTGATATCCCCTATTATCAGAGCTGAGTTCTTCCTTGGTTTTGCCAAATACTGCAAGATAGATACATCCACCCTTGAAACACAATGGGAGAGGTCCTGGCAGCCCTGGCCTGTCTGTGTGGGTAAGCACAGTTTATTGTTAGGAAGCAACCGAGAGAACAAACTTTTTAATATCCTTTTTGTGTCCCTTTAATTCCCCTTTTATTATTGAATATTGTTACATAAATAAGTTGTCCGTGGTATTTCCCTTTAATTTCCCTTTTTACTAACCAATATCGTGTTCACAGTTATCCATAATATTGTGTTAAGATCCTTTTTTGGTATCTTTTCAACTCCCTTTTTACTAGTTAATACTGTATTAAATGCTGTTAGTAGTATTTGTTTTAATTCCACCCGATAAGGTAGTTATTTCGTATTCTTTTTAGTTTTTTGATTCTCTTTGTTAAGTTTATTATTATTATTATTTTCACTGTAATAAAAGATATTTTGTGTGTTTGAATGTTTGTTGCACTTGTTTTTATTCCAGGCATGTATCCTAACAAACTGTTGCACAGGTCCTCAGATATTTGTCTGGAGATGGTGAGTTTACCACAAGCACCTGACTTAGTCTTTCCTCTGAACAATTTCACAGGCAGCCAGATCTCTCTGAGTCCTCCTCTGTCCTTCAGCCCGGGCATTCACACGGCAAGAAGAGATGCTGATTTAAAAGAAAACAATGCCCAGCTTGGGGAAGCAGAGGGAGATCTTGACTTGAATGAGAAATGAAAACGTGTTGTTGAGTAGAAAAAGACTGAACAGCAGATTATAGTGTGGCTCTGGGAATGCAGTTTACTTACAGCAGCAAGACCTAAGCTTGGTTCCCTAGCATAGGGAAATGTCATTTGCTCAGATTGTCCCTGCTCTTGTGCAGATAGGAAGGCAGGGTCCTGTAAGACGTTTTTCTATGCTTTGTGAGATTCATGTCAGCAAAATGAATATTCAGTATTTCTGGAGTTCTTTGGAGAGCAGCTTCACTGCTTGTCTTGTTCAGAGTTGGTATGTTGAACACTTGTTTTTCTTGAGAAATAGGAAATATTTGTGCTCTCAGATCCGCATGGCTTTTACTTCTGTTTTGAGAAATCCCTTTGTATTTACGTGGAGATTTTGTTGTCACTGTGTTGGTGGAAACCCTCTTTTTGTTCTCGTGAACTTAGAAGTCTTCCAATTTTCCTAAATGAAAATAATTCCTCACAATGTAACGCAAGAGCCAAGTGGATGTTTGAGAGGTTCGAAACCTTTTGTCTTGTGAGTAACTGTTTCACACGGAGCCTTAGGGGTTTCATTTTCAGACAAGCTGCAAAATGCAAGTTCTCATTTCTTCTGTGCCACTAGCTAAAACCGGAAATACTCTGCAGAGATAGCAGAAAGTCAATAGGATACTGCAGCTGAGCTAATGTCTGGGGGAGAAATGGAAATCTTTGTCTTTGCTGTCTTAGGGCTATGTTTGTTTTAAATCTCTTGGCCTTGGCAAAAGGCTGAATGAGAACAATGTGTTTCTGTAGTTTCCTAGGGCTGTCTCGCCTTGGGGGCAAGAGGTCTCTCTTTAAAACCCATTTCCCATTCAGTTTCTCTCTCCAGGGTTTCATTCAGTTCCCACTGTATCAGTTACAAGTCTTCTGACTTCGAGTTGATTTGGATCAAGGTACAGTGATTTTAAGTGTGGATGAGGTTAGTAGAACTGACCTAAGTAACACTTCAAAACAAGGGGCCTGTGGGCTCTGCTGTAGCAAATAACATGGATTTTTTTTCTTCCATTTCCTGCAAAGATGAGCAGTAATATTGACTCTGAAATTGTAAGTTTCAATGCTGGCAGTTTTTTGTCATTAGAAGTGACAGATGAGCAGATTCTTGGTTTAGTCTGCTGGGACTGTTTTGGTTTTTTCCATAGAAAGGTACAAAACTGTTACTACAATTTTTAATTTTTTTTTAAATCAGAAACTTCACTCCCTAGCTTTCATTAGAGAAAAGAAAATTCCAGGGTAAGTTGGATGTCCTCCCTATGAGACACTGCTCCTGAGCTGACAAGCTGGGGAAGATGTGGAACCCTGATCAAGCTGAGGGAGAAGTTCTTTCCCTTTTTAGGAAATTCTTACTGTAAATTGTACTTATCCAATTTTCAGGTCTTTATTGGTCTCCTAAGAGCTTTTAATGAAGCATTCTTCACTAGAACATGACTCTTTGCAGCATTTGCAGAAATGTTCTTATAGTCTCAAGAAAAAGACATTTAGAAAGGATTTCCAGTTTATTTTCAACTTACCTGTCTTCCATAGTTAGTACTCAGAATACCAGGCTGGAGGAAGGTCCATGCAGAGCTGATCTGTCTGAAGAAGTTGGGAGATCCTCCAAGCATGTCTGGTGAATTCCTCTGAGAGCAAGGGGTTAGTAATATTCCAAAGAAGGTCTTGAAGACCAGCTAATAAGGCGCAAGTCAATCTGCACTTGTGCCTGCTTCTCCAGATCCAGCAGCACTGAAAAACATCCTTTTTCAGCACTGAAAAAAGTGCTCCTTTCCAGCACTCACCGAAAGAGCTTTATCTTGGATGGCACTGACTGGTAAAGTGCACAGAGCTGCCAGCTGTGAGTTGCAGGGTCACTGGGGGGGGCTGGGGATGTGCTCCAGGTGGAGGATTCCTGTGTTTGGCTCCAGTGTCCCACCCTTCAGCTGTTTGCCAGGCTGCTGTGCCCGTGTCCTGGGAGCAGAACGACACAGTTACGGTGGGAACACGCTGCATTCAGCAAGGGGCTGTGTTTAAGAGTTCAAAGAGGGAGGCTGTGGCCCCAAGTGTGCCCTGGTGCCTTTCCTGGAAAGCACTAAGGTTCCTTGGTTGCACTGCCTGTACCAGAAGGGTGGGCATCCCCCAGCGACCTCAGGCTGCTTTGATTCCACAGGAATCTAGGACGGTTTAGGTTGGAAGGGACCTCAAAACTCATCTGGTTCCAGCCCCCCTGCCCTCTGTCTGTGTGAAGCCATTCCCCCTTGTCCTGGCACTACAAGCTCTTGTAAAAAGTCTAGAGGGCAAGCCTGAGAGCAGCCCCAGTCCTGGCCATGCAGCCTGTCTGCAGGCAGAGAAACACTTCTGTGTGTGCTGAGCTCTTCAGAAGGTGAGGCAGAGAAGATGGAAATCTATGAAAGAGTGGGAAATACATTAATTAGTCTTTGTTCCCCAGTTTCTTCCAGCATCTTTGCAAATAGCAATGTGTCATCCTGAAGCCTTGTCATTTTTCCCATAGTTAAGAGTTCCCAGACTTTTGTAAGATGTGTGCTGTTGAAAGCATGGATTTACTCCAGTCTCTTTTTCAGGGATCCAGGCTATGATAAACAAATGTCAAGAAAACCTTACCTCAAAGCTTTTTTTTTTAAACAAACAAACAAACAAACAACCCCCCCCCCCAAACAACATGTTAAAACAGTCAAGGTAAGTATAAGGAGCCATGTCCCGATTTATGCATGGATATAAACCAAATCCTATTCCTTCTAGGCAGGAATTAAGGATTATATATTTAGCTATTTGGATGCCCAGCACATCTACTTTAGAAAAAAAGATCAATTGTTTACTTAAGCTATGGCATTTGTGATAGATGTGCTTCATTTTGCACCTCTTTTTGGGAGAACCTTCTACTGACTTCAGAAGGGACAAGGATCCCACCTCAAGTCCAGCACAACCTCTGGAGAGCACATCTGGCCAGATGGGAAGAGGAGAGCTGTGATAAGGAATTGTGCAGGCTCTGTTAGGAAGCCACTGAGAACAAGACTCTGTAAAGCATAGGAAATTCTGTCTAAAGCAGAGAGGGGGAAGGAAAAATAAACAGATATGGACATGTTTAACCTTAAATTCAAATTTATTTCTCTCAGGGTATTTTATATGATGGAGAAAGTGGTACTGCTTTCCCTTCTGCTTCTAAATTTCATGCTGTCTCTAGGCACCTAGCACAGAAGTTAGATTCTACTAAATGATTAAATTTACCACTTAGAGGCTGAATTCCAGAAATACCAGCATATCTAGTCTGATCAATTCAACAGCACACCGCAGGACCACTTTCTTCTGGTTGTGTTGTATCCCACACAATTTCAAATGATGCTTTTCCAAGTAATAGCCTTCTTGGGCAGCAGTCATGCAGTGGGAGGGGTGACTTAAAAACCAAACCTTTTGATTCAAACAGAGGTCTTCCTACTCAGAGTTACTTGAGGACTCTCCTTGTATATCACAGATGTAGCTGGAAACCCCTTAACCACTCATAACTTCTTGTCCCTGTAGTATTTGTAATAGAATTTGGTGTCCTTGAAAATTAATGTTTGAAACCTACTGGGTTTTTAGCTGTTTGTATTCTGTGTTTGGTGGTGGAGTTGATGTCATCCCTTGCCACTGCAGAATGTGCACTCTCATGTGTGGAGTGGTCAGCTCTATGGCACCACAATCAGTCAGCAGGAGGAATAATTTGGGGAAAATCAAGTTATCACATTTATGGCTTTATAGTTTTAATATTTTGGCCTGGAAAATTGTTCATTCAGGCAGCCCAAATTAACTAAAACCCATAAAATGTGACAATTTTTGCAGACAAAGGCAAAGAGTGTGGGACTTGGAGGATAAATTGTGATATTTAGTAGTATATTCACAACATGAGTGTGACTGGGGGAAAGAGGCAGAAAAGGAAATGTTAAGAAATCCCATAGTTTGGAGCACTTCCCTCACATGTGATATGTGATGTTTTTGTGTGCCTAATCACTCCAGACCCTATGGAAGGAGGCACCTGAGATGATAGGTGAGATGGATTTATCCAAAAGACCTTGGGAAAGGAATTTAGAATTGAAAGAATATGAGGCAGTATGGATCCAGAGATCTCTTGGCAAGATTATTAACTCAGCAAAGGCTGTCTTAGGTTTGAGATTGAGTGTGGAGCTGGTTCCTTTGATTTTTATTTTTTAATTAGGCCATGAGCACTTTGACAGTTTTGCAGCCCTCCCAGATGCATATTGTGACCAAAATAAAAACCTTCCCAGTTTAGCAGCTCAGGGATACTTTGCCATGTTAGTGAGACATGAAGGACCAAGAAGGGCAACCCTGTGTCCTGTATGTCGGGTGAGTGGGAGCAGCCACGGCATCCTTGTGTCCATCAGCCCAGTGACACACTGGGGAATGAATCAGTGGGGAGAAAAACTGTCATAGGTTCTGGTGGACAATTTGTACCCATTGCAAACCAGAACAGCTCTTTGACCTGTTTTGGAGCTTGACTCATGCCAGGAGGAGACTTTTCTCTCCAGTTTCCCAGCTGCTTTCTGGGCTCGTTTGTTTTCCTTGCAGCGGTGGTTTATGCTGCATGGGCTGCAAGGAGAGACACATCTCTGCCATGCCCCCCTCCTGCTCCTGGAGACCACCACTGCCACAAACCCCTCCTTGAGGAGGTTAACCACATGGCTGTCCTGGATGCATCGTGGGATGGGGCTGGTGGGAAGTGGAGTGGTGTGCAGTGCCAAACCATGACGTGTGTGCTCTTTCCGCTGGGAACACTGACTCATGAAGCAGAGTAAAAAGCTGTTACATTTCCACATGATGAAAAATGGGCCCCAGTCTCGTCTCTCCTGTGTGCTCACACAGTCTCTGCCCGGTGAATGCTTTCCCTGTTGTAGCTTGTGAAACGTGGCTCCCGTTGGTAGAAATTCAATTTATTTCAGCTGAGAAGAATTGGGTGTCACCTTGGATGGGCCTTCTCCTCACCCACAGTCAGGCCAAGCAGTGGACTTGTGACTTTCTAAATACAGTCCAGGTTACTTATTCTCTGTTATTCTAATTCAGCTGAGAAGAGCTTGGCAATGTCTCCCTTCGACTGTTCTGTCACCTGGTTGCATTGCTGATCAGTTATCCAAGGTATGCTTGGTAGAAAATAGAGAAGGAAGCACTTCCAATAGCCATGGTTCTCACTTCTAACTCCTGTTTCAAATCCAGAGTGTAAGATATCAACAGGAGAAGTAGATCAGACAATTAGAGGCGAGGAAGCTTAGGAGAGGATGTGAATATTCTCACTGTGTCCAGCAGAAGGTGCAATAGTTAAGGACTGGACTTTATGGTATGATGTGTTACAAAGTGATTGTGATGTGGTGTTAGACCAGTGCTGTTTTCTTCATAAGTAGATAAAGTTTAGGCAAAAGCCACTCAAACCTCTAATTATTACAACTGTGAATGGGGATACACAGTTAAGTTGCAGTTTATGTTATTGTGACTATTGTGCCATGGTCTCAAACTATCTGAGATTTGTGAAAATGCCTCTTTATTTGCCTGAAAGAGGAACAAATGCAGTATAATTCAAATAGTGTGGCAGAGCTTGAACTGTCTTTGGGAACAGTGGCACAGTAGAAAGTAAACAAACTGTCAAGAAATGTTGAACTGGACTCAGTGATCCTTTGTGGGTCTCTTCCAACTCAGGATATTCCACGATTCTATGACTAAGAAAGAATAAGAAATGTTTTGCTTTACACTGGGGCTCAGACACAGCTTGAGGAATCACTGCTGCTCTTGCACACCCTCCCAGCTGATAATTGTGTGAGCTGTGCCTTAGCCAAAGCCTGTTCCTGATGTTTTGTGCAGCCTGGGCACGGATGCTCAGCTGCTGTGGTTTTGCAGGGGGGGAGGTGAGTTGTTGGGACAGTGGAACCTGATTGTTTGGCCACTGAATGTTAGGATGTTCCAGGTGATGCCACGTTGATGAGTTAGAAGCATGGCCTAGTTATACAGCAGCTATACCAGTTGTCCTGGTGAAAAAATTCTTGTTGCTTGGACTTGGCTCACTTTAACCAGTGGGGTTTTCATGCAGTCTGGGAATGCATCCTTGCTCTTCAGTTCAGTGTTCTGGATACACAGTGCATGTGAATTTCTGGAGGCAGGGTGGTTTTCTGCTCAAATGGGAGCAAAGTTAAGAGCCAGGAACTCTGTTGAAATCCTTTTGTTATCAGCACAATGCACTGTGGCCTTTGGCATCCCCTAATTCAACTTCTCTGCAAACTGATAGATACTTATGGTAATTATGGTACCTACCAGATGTGGGAATGTGGAGGATCCTGGAGAAGTATGTGGCCTCTTTAAATCTGTGAAGTGATACATCTGTTGAGTATTAATGGTTTGTTAAATTTATTGAGCACTTTGGGACTGTTGAATGAAAGACCTCACATAAAAGGCACTTAATTATTGTTATTGCTAGAGAAGGGCTTGCACAACAGCAGCAGTTATCTGGGAATCTGTGAAACAAAGGTCTGCAGCATGCTGCCAGCTGTGCTACCACTTAAAACTTAGAACACGAGGCATTAATTTGGGGACACAGGGAGGAGAGGTTCTGCAGTCACTGAGTTGTGGCAATCCTTTGGTCAGGCTGGTCATATGCTGAATATATTCTGTCCACCTTACTCTGTGGGAAATACTCTGCCCTGGTAGGATTGTCACAGGGATTGTGTGATACCCTTTTTACAAATCTGCTTTAAACACTCCTGTTTCCTTCCTCACAGACCTCACAGAACTGAGCAGAAATGTGCATTGGTGTTTTTCATTCGTGACCTCAGGCGTCCTCACAAACACGGGCAGGACTGTGCTGCAGAGCACAGAGCAAAGTTTTCCAGGGCAGGTAACGAAACCTTCTATTTCTAGGAGCTCTCACAGCTCCTTAAAACTCTTGGGTCTCAGCATGTGGAAAAATCCATTAGTGTGTGGTGTTTGGCTCTGGGTTTGCTTTGCCTCTGGAGCGGTGGGAAACAACCGCTCAATTTGAAGAGAAACTGGGAACTTTGCAACACCAGTGTACTGTGAGTCATCCACCCAGTGGCTTCAGAGGAGAGAGGATGAAACCTCCTACCCCCAAGGTTAATTGCCAGTGACTGTGGCAGTCTTAGTAGGCCCATTTCCTAGCAGTTTTATGGGTACTATGATGAATTCACTGGCAAGCTTATTCTCACCTTTCTGTGGTGTAACAACAGCAGAGGGAACAGGGCAGGGAGACGAGATTTATTTAATGCTTCTATTTATGTTCATATTATGGACCAATAAACTGCCAGCTGCCTTATGACCAGCAGGTTTGCTCACAGGCACGAGGAGCAGGTGGTGGTGGCTGCTGAAGTTTTGTGTCTTGACTGAACCAAATTCTTCCCCAGCAGCTAAAAGGATCACTTAGTCATTCTGAGTATATTCAGCTAAAAACAAAGCCCATAATTCATTGAAGAAGGTGCCACTGCTCTCTTTAACCTACTAGTTAAATATTATCCTGGGATATGGAAGCTTCCCAATCTTGTTTTGATAGCTATTTTTGGCTTTTTATATGGTATACAACCAGGAGCTGTGGAAAGAGGCCCAGGACAGAATCTCAGATGTGTGAGCAGCCCTTCCAGGACACACAAGATCCAGCTGGAGGTTTTGCTTATGTCAGTTTGCTTTTTGGAGGTCTCCCATGGCACACAGACCTCCAAATCACAAGGGGATGAGAAGGGAAGGCTCCACCTCCATCCCCTCTCTGCTCTCTCAACCAGCATCAAATTCCATCTGCTGCACTGGAGCCACCCGTGGTCATAATAGTATTTAAACTTTATATATAAATACTTCATTATTCAGCAAACCCTTTTGTCAGTGGTTGGGAAGAAACAAAAGGTTCTTTTTCTGAGATCTTCCTTCTGGCTTTAGCAGCTCAACTACAAATGGAAGCAAATAAGAGAAGCAATGAATAAGTACTTTTACTCCTGTTTGATCTTCCCTCCCTTAGGACATTTTTGCTGCTCTTTCCACCCCACAGGGATGAATGTTTCCTCCAGCAACTGCCCACCCACAAATCCATACCCACACAGGCTGTGGTTGCTCAGCACACTTGCATTAGTAATACTTTGGCTAAGAGTAGTGTCCTGTCCTCAGACACAGCTGTGATTGCTCTTGCACTTGCTTTGCCCGAGTACCAGGAAGGAAAATTGTCTCCACAGCAGCCCCTGATGGCTCAGGAGAGAGTGGTACCATCCCCTTTTCTTGGAATGCCAGAGATCAACTGGTTCCCAGATAATTTCATGGTGACAGGAGCTGTAATTTCTGTAGATGAATCTATGGTTTCTGGTTTTGACTGTGAGTCTCTGGCTTTCCCACTTGTGTACTGGACTGGAAGAGTGGAAATGTTAATTTGAGCGTGGAAGGTTGGTCCTTTTGCCAGTGGCTCAGGAGAATGGAACTTGGTACTTGTACATGGATGTGAACTCTTGTTTTGCAGGAAACTTGTTTCTTTGTAGAGCAGCAGGTACATATTTCCTTTCCAAGGCAAGAGAACTTTGCACTTCTGATTTGTCTGTATTTTGCCTACACTTTGAGATCTGACACATCTCAAACCATGCTAAGTAGTGCATATCATGTCATTCCCAGTGAAACTGTTTGGTTTCACTGCTTTGTGTTCTGTTCTGCAAAGTTATCGATGCTTAAAGGGGTAACTGCCATAGTTAATAAGGAAACTGATTTTTTTTTTGCCTAGTCTTGAAGTTTCCCTTTAGGAACAATTAACACTGACTCCCAGTATTTTAACTTTAGCATTGCTTTTGATACTTTTCTAATCAAACAAGGTCTTATGTAAGTATTGTTGGTCCCTCGTGGTTTAGGAACAGTTAAGTCAGGACATCAAAGATTGAAAAAACAGAAAATTCCTTTTTCTACCTCTTCTATTTCTAAACCATTTGGGCTTGTTAGTTCCTATTCCCCAGGCCTTCCTGAAATTTGTTCTTTTTTTCAACAAAATGACTCCCAGAGCAGCATTTCGAATAAAATGTTGGGTTTTCCAAGAGTTGACAATGTTGATTATGTGGGGCATTGCTGGTTTGTTCTCTGTGCCAATTTTAAACATTTCACTGGTCTTGAATATTGCCGAGAGTCTGATTAAAATATTGATGTGCTCATCCTCAAGTTGTCTTCACAAGAGGAGAGTGCTTGGGCTGGATTTGAGGCAGACAGGATAGCCCTGCTGTGAGGTTTCCAGCATTTAAAATCCAGGCTCTGTGTGGAGCACATGGAGCATCCCCCTTGTTTGTGCATTCCCCAGCAGGGCAGCAGAGGTCAGGACAAGCACCAGTGTGCTTGGAAGAGATCATTTCCAGGGTTACACCAAGGGCATGTACAGCTACAATAGCCCATGGCATCAGGGAGAGAGAAATCCTGTGCCACTGCAGCTCGGTTTGCACTCCAGCTTTCCAGTGCTTGTGATCTCTCAGGCCTAGCTACTGCTGAATTTGCTCCTTGGGACCATTCAACATATCTATACTGGGGATTTTATTTGGAACCGGAGGGAAAACATGATCCTTGTGCATTTGACGCCCTCTTGGACTGAGGGCTGGCTGAATTTTCTCTCTTCCCTTGCAGGGGTTTCAGGGAGTGTTGCTTTGTGTCCTGGTGATGCTCCATCAGAGCTGCTCCGAGGAGACGCTCTGGCTGACACGCAGCTCCAGCCTTGGCTCCTGACACAGAAACATTCCTGCCAAATGCCTGGCCACTGAGTTCCTGCTCCCCAGCGCCAGCGACTCGCTCTTTGCAAGGTGGGGAACTGCTGTGGAAGGGAAGCATTTCATGAATCACAACTCCCACGCCTTTGCCTACCCGCTCGTTCCCAGCCAAAATACTTTCGCTCTTACTCACGCCAAATACCACCTTTCCTCCAGAATCTTTTCCATCTGTCCTGCAGGTTGCCGTGCATAAAGGAAAGGACACGAGAGGCTCTAGGACTCCTCTGAAAAGACCTGCAGCAGTAAATACGTGTGTCCCAATCAGGTATTCGAGTTACCTCAGTGACTTCTGTTCTCTCCTGTTCCCGCTGTCAACACCAACACAGGGGTGACAGCAGAAAGATGTCAGAGTCACCCATCAGTTTGCCTGTATCTTGCAGCTTGGCAAGAAGAATTATCAATTTCTCAAGTGGGTGCCTGAGGAGCTTTCTCAGCTCTGATAGCTTCCTGTGGGACTGTGCTCATCTCTCATCAGATGTATATTTGATAGCAAGCCAAAAAGGAGAATTACTTTGGGTCTTTAGCTAGTAGCAGGGATTTGTTGCAGTGTGGCCTGTTTTAAGCACCTAAAAGCATGTGTAAGACACTCTAAAATGGCTTGATTTTAGGTCTTGTGTGTGTTGTTGCCAGATAGGACCTGTTCAATCATTTTGTCTGAACTCTTGGACAGTGGCAAAACTATACTCAGTGAAATAGATTGTGCTGTTTGTACTCCTTGTGTGAGTGGTTAAAATCTGGGCCTCTTAAAGGTAGGACAGCTCTGAGGGGAAAGTCTCCTTGGCCTGCACAGGACTGGCTATCAGAAGTGAGGCTGTGCAGCACAGCTTCTTCTGTGGCCCCTGGGGAAGCGAAGGGGATGAGTTGGGTGCTGTTGGTACTGCTGAGGTTTGAGGGAGCAGCACAAGGTCCAGGGTGGAGGCAACGTGTGGAGACCCCAACCTGGAAACACCAAGCCTGAAGCTACAAAGGTGGATCTGAACCCTTCTGCTGGGGTAGACATGAAGCATGTTCTGGCAATGTCAGGACATGGCACCAGTCTGAGCTGTGATGTTTCATGGGCTGGAAGCTCAGCCTCAGAAAATAGGGATTATCAAGCCAGATACTCTGTTCTCTCCGTAAATATTTATGAGCTCACTGTGTAGAGAAGAGTCAGGGAATGGTTTTGTTATTGGCATGGAGCATTTGAAGGACCTGGGTGTGAGTGTCAGGCAACACCTAAAGCTCTTGTGATTTTAGGATATTAGCAGAGCCTGGAAAGGAGAAGATTGTGGTTTTCTTGCTGATGTGAAGTGGTGAAAGCAAACCACCCTATAATGGGAACATTAATCATGAAGGTACAGGTATTCATTGCCCTTTCTACCATATGCTGGAGTAGTAAGAATGGTGTTCTTGCCACAGTCCTTCTCTTTCTTTTCCCCTATTCATGAAATAAGGGCAATCTCTTGCCTGTTCTTCTTCCCAGGTGTAATGGAAGGATATTTGTCCTGTACTTTGAGCTGGTGTTCGGATACCGAGTGATGTGGATAGGCATTAACTGGGCAAATCCCACTAGGCTTATCTTGTCCTCAAAGAGATTCCCAGGGCTGAATCTCCTGGCTAAAATAAGTATTGCTCAGAGATGAATAGGGCCCCTTCAGCTGGTTGATGGTGTTGAAGGTTGGCAGCAGTGACTGCAGCTGGCTCATTCCTTGAGGAGGCAATGCCAGGCAGGAGTTTGTCACTAAGTGACTGATACTGTTACCTCCACCCTGCTCTCCTCCCTCAAGCTAAAGCTTTCCATGGAAAATTCAGCTGGGTTGGCTCTGGCTGAGGCTTCAGGCATAGAAACATTCCTGCACTCCTGCTGCGTTCAGGTCTTTAGCAAAGCACAGCAGTGAGCTTACAGCCTGGCTAGCGTGGCCTCCTAGTGATTGATGGATGTGAAAAGTTGGCTTTTGCCCCCAAAATAGTGGTTACTATTTTCTTTATAGTCATGTCTAGCATGTTCAGGTTACAGAGAGGGGGTGACTCAGCTCTATCAACATCTGAACTGCCTCACAACATTGTCTGTCCCTTCATTAGGCACGTAAAGACCTCCAGCAGGCTCAAGGAGCTCCGTGCCTGCCATTAGCTGGGTGGAATCTTGGCCATGGTGAGAGGCAGCTTCTCTCTGACTCGGTGATAAACCACTCACAAGTTAGGCTGGCACTAAGGATTAGGAACATTTGGTTTGGAAATAAATTCGGCGTTTGAAAACAAAGAGTCAAGACGCTTATTTTGTTGAGCACTGAGCTGCAGGGAATTTTCAGGATGTGGTTCTGACTTTTTCTCAGGCACAGAGTAGCATTTTATGTCCCTCACAGATTTATTCAATGTGATGAGTTACCCAGATTTGAAAGAGTTGGTTCAGCCAGAGACAGGTGTTCAAGAATGTGCAAGTTCACACCAGGTGTCTGTGTCAGAGCTAGAAATAAACCCCATGTCTCCAGTGACTTGGTTGTCATCACTGTAAGGAAGCCATAGAGGTGTTTTTCCTTGTGTTATATGAAAAGAAGGTTAGGCTGGAGTGTCTGCCTTGGCAGAGGCTGTTTTTCCCTTTCCAGGGAATGAGGGGAGATTCACTCCTTCCAGTGGCAATGAGAATTGCCTTTGTGTTCAAGTTAATAACTGCAAGAGATGAAGCTGAACATAATGTACAGATTAGAAACACAGCTTTGCCCAGGAACTAAAGATGCAGGAAAGAGAGTCAGAGCCTTGGCAGCAGCCTGGAACATACAGCAAGTTGTTATGCTGGGTGTGGTATTAAAGCCATTTCTTATGGACATTGCAGGAAAGTCTTTGAGACTCTTCCAGTGATTGCTGGAGGTTTTCTGGTAGCAGAGAACTCAACAGAGCCATGGGTGAATGATGCAGCTTTTGTCTAAACCAAACCAGCTGCTTATTAGCCTTAAATCTCTGCTCTCCAAGCTGAATATGCTCCACTGCTCCAGGCAAAGTCATACACTTGATTAGGAAGCCTGAGGCACTCCGGGCTTTTTTATCTGGGAGACCTAGAACAAGCTATTTTGGCTTTTTTCTTTTCACTGTGTCAGGGTGGGGGAGAGTTCATTAAATAGGAGTGAAAAAGATGAGCTGTATCTCTTTTTCCATTTGGAATCTGACGGGGCAGAAATCACACCTCTAATAAAAAGAGAAAAGTATGTTATTGGACCTGTTGAGGACATGAAAAATGCCTCACATTTCAGTCCATCTTCAACAGCCCAGCTTGGAAACCAAAATCTGCAGAAGAAAGAAACATTGTTTTAAATGAAACCATTTCAGGCTCTAAACTTGGAACTTTTCCCCTGAAAAATGTTACAGCAAAACATTCTGTGAAATTTGAAACTTAAAACTCATATGGAATCACTCTTCCCTATGAACATTCTCATTTTCAATGAGGTCTCTATTTGCTCCAGTGCTCTAGTGAAATATTTCTAAATAACTTATGCCCCCGACAGAAGTGTCTCTTCCCTGCATTCAAACCAACTGTTATTGAAAGGATATTTTCTGTGGAGGGAGAAGATATGCCAGGGTGTTTTTGCAGTGGAGAGCACCTGAAGTTCAAAAACATATTCAGGCATTCTGATCAGCAGGGTGATGCTTGGGACTGAAGAGATCAACGTACTGAAGTCTTGGTGCTTTGTGGTTTTTCTTCTGGTTTTGAATATCTGGCTGTAAACATACCAGAGTTTGCTGATGGGCTTTGAATACTCAGGTATCAGAACTTGGTCAAACTTTCCAATCACTTATACTCAGGTCTCCAAGGCACTTCAGGTCAGGGTGGGGAAAGGTTCCTGACTGGGGCAATTTGGAGCATTTTGAGTAGGTTTCTGTGTGCCTGGTCCTCTTGGAGGGGTCTCTTTCTTTCCTAAGTGACTGGAGGATGATTCTGGCTGGCTTCATTGGATCCCTAAATGGGTGGGATGTGATGATCTCCCTGTGAAATCCTGGCTTGCAGAAGTGAAGACCTCCTAGTACCTGAAGGGAACCTGCAAGAAAGACGGAGAGAGAACTTTTGAAAGGCATGGAGTGACAGACAAAGGGGAATGGCTTCAAACTCAGAGAGTAGGTTGAGATCAGGTATTAGGAAAAAGTTCTTTTCTGTGAGGGGGGTGAGACCCTGGCACAGGTTGCCCAGAGGAGCTGTGGCTGCCCCTGGATCCCTGGAAGTGCCCTAGGCCAGGTTGGACGGGGCTTGGAGCAACCTGGGCTAGTGGAAGGTGTCCCTGGCCATGGCAGAGGGTGGGGAACAGGATGATCTTTAAGGTCCCCTCCAACCCAAACCATTCTGTGATTCCGTGATGAGTTGACACCCAGGGTTTCACCTACAGTGACTGTGTGTGATATTCTTATCCCCTCCAGTTGTTTTGGGGGCTCCAGTGTTAAAAGCAGAGCCCCAGGGAAGGCGTTTGGCACTGGGTGACGTCATGGGCTGTGATTCCTGAAAGGCTGCTACGTGCACAGGAAAGAATTTGATCTTGTACAAACAGGATAGCCATGTGCAGTTATGGGCAGCTTCTGTGTTCTCTTTCCCAGGGAATATATGCTGTTCAGCTGAGATCCATCCCTCTTGGTTTCACTTGCCAGCAGTTTTCAGCTGACATCGTGTTTGCACGAAGGCAGCACCAAGTAGGAACTGTATTAACCATTTATATTCCCCCTACTCTGATATTTCAATTTTATCCTTTTCTGTTCCTCTCTGTCTACTGTTTTATATAAAACACTTCCAGTAGAAGCATACTGGGGGGTTGTTTTTACTTGCCATTAGTTGAAGACAGTGTAAAACTACAAAAAATACAGGCAGAGAGAACAGGACTCTGAAACGGGGTGGTAGGGATGATGGGGCTCTGGTTCTTAAAAGTTTTAGACCAACCAGATTGTTGTAATCTGTCTGACTTCCACCAGGTCATCACTGGGCAGGAGGTAGAAGAAGGACCTTGTGTGACATGATGTGTGCTGTGAGACAAATTTGGTCACACAGCAAAGGAGGTGACTAAAAATTCCCAATGGATTGTCTCTCATGTCCCAGCAGCCAGAGAGGGATCAGTGCTCCACACAGCCAGGAATATCTGGTGTCCCATGGCTTCCTGCTGAGCTGGTAGCACAGTCCTGTCTGAGTACCAGCAGTGGGATATTGATGGAAGCCTGCAGATCTCAGCTTGGGCAGGGCCAGATTAATTTGCCCAGGCTGTGTGTGAATGTCATT